AGTCAGTAACTGGATGGGAGACCTCCTGGGAAAAACTAAGGCTGCTGCTGGAAGAGAAGTTAGTGGGGCCAGCAGGGGGCGCTCACCCTGCGGTCCATGTGGGTCCTAATGCTTTACTATACTGTACACTGGACACTATACTGTAAACAGGCGCCGTCCTTCGGATGAGATGTAAAACCGAGATCCTGACTCTCTGTGGTCATTAAAAATCCCAGGGCGTTTCTCGAAAAGAGTAGGGGTGTAACCACGGCGTCCTGGCCAAATTTCCCATTGGCCCTTACCAATCATGGCCTCCTAATAATCCCTATCTATGAATTGGCTTCATTACTCTGCTCTCCTCCCCACTGATACCTGATGTGCAGTGAGCGTTCTGGCGCACTATAGTTGCCATCGCATCATCCAGGTGGGGCTGCACATTGGTGGTGGCGGAGGGGAGTCCCCATTACCTATAAAGCGCTTTGAGTGGAGTTGTCCAGAAAAGCGCTATATAAGTGTAAGCAATTATTATTATTACTGACTCCAAGAAAAGTCTCTATTTGAGACTGCTCAAAACTAACATGCCAAAAATGAAAACTTCTTACACTTCTTCAGTCAGTCAGTTTCATAGTTCTCTCCCGCTAGCATATCAAAGAGTCCATCCTTTGATTTCAGACAGAAAATAATGGCCATCCCTGGAAGCCTCAGCTTCCAGGATCTTAAACTGTCACTTCACCAGTTGTCTTCCGTTAATTGATCAGGTGACTAAGTATGGCAGGTCAATCCCCAAAGCTTTCTGGGAAATGTAGTTCAGACAAAGGACTCCATCTTGTTTGAACCTATCACCCTTTCCCAGATACCTCCAGTGGGAGATTTGCATGTTCTCTGATTTGCATGTTTTTCTGGGGGTTCTTGTTGACAAACTGGTTAGCTAAACTGGTTTCTCTAAATCGACCCTATGTGAATGTGTGTGTTTTCTACAAGGGACTGGCATTCCATCCAAGGTAAGCAATGTTTCCAGGGTAGACTCTGGATTGCCGCCATCCTTACCAGGACTAAGAATCTTTCTAATAATGGATTATAATAATAACATAAATATATAGTACATGCTGCATTGTTCTTCACCCTGAATCTCCAGAAAATGTCTCAACCTCTTCCCCTATCGGAACTGTCACTTACCAGGACAGAGATGGAAAAGAAGACAGAATCAAAACAATACTTGCCTCTTGAGCTGCACTTTCACGTACTTGCTAACCTTGACTTTCATCTCCTATCTCCTTTGCCTCAGCCATTGGTAATAAGCAGCACTGACTTTTGAAAAATCATCTTTTCAAAGTGCTTTCCCCTTCTTTGGTGCTCCCTCACTCAGCGCAGCTCCTGTCCATCGCAGTGCTGTGATCTCTTTCCCTATTAATTCACACCGGGAGCACCAGCCATCTCAGCCAGCTCGACCTTGGCCTGGCCTTCAGTGCTTTCCTCTACACCATCACCTCTTGTGAGCCTCCGCTTTTCACACCTTCCTGAGAAGCTTTTTGTTACTTCGGTTGCCATGTACTGTAACTACAGCATGAAAAAAATCTTCCAAAGCTGGAACAAACACTAGAAACCGATGGTATGCAAAACACATGCTGCCACTCGTATTAATTGACATACTGTATATGTATTATATGTAATTTCCACCATCTGCCTTGGCAAGATGTATATTACTGTGACTCAAGCAGAACACAAGCCGGCTAAACATATTGCAGCAGAGGCCTGCTTTTATGCACTTGTTAAAAGAGTTTTGCTTAATTCTTTTCTCCCCTCTTTGAAGCATTTTAAATTAGGATTTCATAGCATCTGTATAATGCTGTCCATTATAATGGATCTCAACGTGATAGAACTGCACTCACTTCATCCACTCATTCCTTCATGTTTCACTTCTTCACTTCTTTGCCCAGTCTGCAGTGTAGTGAGCTGTGGATACAACATGGCAGCATTCATTGAAGTGACATCTTGCTGCATGTTGCATCTACAACTCATCACACTGGAGATTGGGTGAAAAAGCGAGGAATTACACACAGTAAAACACAAAGGGATTTTAGGATGGCCAGGTTAGTTTGAACTTACAGTAAATAGGATGCTGGGGTTAGAGCCACTATTCTAGCTAATAATGTAGTGGGGTCTTTAATAAACAATGCTTTTGGATTTTCCTTAAATAAATGATCTGAAAGAAAGAAAAACATACAGCAGAGCTGCTTGTTACCTTCTGACCCTCTCTATTACAGAATTCTACTGCTGTCAGCTTCGTAGGTACTTCACTGATAATTAGCAGGTTCAATTTTGCAATTAGCAAATTGGTTATATGAAAATATCAAAAGAGAGCAGATTAAAAGGGCCGCACGTTGAGTATCCCTGCTCTACAGAAAGATGTCTTTCATTGTCATTTTTAGACATTGGTTTGGATGTTTGGGAAGAAACCCACCTACTGGTCTTGCAGTAGCCTGACAAATCTTGGAGGTCTCCAGTCCCATTAGTGACCTGGCCCCACTCTGCGTAGCATCTGAGATCTAATGAGTTCAGGCTTCCTGCAAAACAGGTGATCATTCTCAGCACTGAATTCATGTACATCGAAAAACTAATTAAACAAGTCCATGCCACACATGTATGCACCTTTTGGTCATCCCTACTGTGCACACAAAAGGAAAATGGCTTCAAAGGAACTCTGTGAAGTTGGCCCCCCTACAAACAGCACAAACGATGAAACCCAGCTCATTTGTTAGTGCTGCTTTTGTGCTGGTTTGTGCCGTTGAAAGAAGCTTCCCAGCTGCTTTATTTCCTGAAATATAGCGCCTTCTTTTTGGGGGGTGTGACGTCCCTCAGCCCCAATAATGTCGTAGGGGAACCGAACCAGTCTCATTCATCAGTGCTGCATTTGTGCCAGTTTGTGGCATTGAAAGTAGTTTCCCAGCTGCATTCGTTTTCGAGATATAGCGCCTTGGTTTTTTGGGTAATCACGTGACTATCTACAAGTACTTTTACAGGTATCAACATACTTGGTACAATGGGTGCAATTTGTTTTCCAAGTCTGTCTGGTCTGGTGTGGTGGATGTTTCAGTATAACGCCTTCTTTTTCTGGCTGTGACGTACAAAAACAGCAAGGTCACGATCACCAGATCTTTCAGTTGTGATCTTTTGATCACTTGACCACACCCTTTGCAGCCTTTACACTAATAAACAGTCTTACATTTAAGGAGGAGTCAATATGTTAGTTAATTGGGTTAGGTGTTTTTGTTTTAATTTTTAACCATATTCTCAAAAATGCATTGCTTGTGTACTCCTTTTATTGGCGAAGAGACACCATTGTTGTATCCTGAAACACCACTTTCCAAATTACTTCTGGTACAACACGAGTTCCCATATTCACATTTTTAGGTATTAGTTTCAAGATCGATATAATTTAACAATAAAAAAACAAATTGAAAGCACAAACATAATAATATAATGATCATAGACTTCCCCTACCTCAAATATACGATTAAAACTGTTCAAATACCATGTGTTCATTACAGAAAACAGCGCAGTTATATATTAATTAAAAAATGTATTTGTTTTTAAGAAAAAAAAAGCCAATTTAGTTATTTTGCAAAAAAGTCAAGCATTTAAAAAACAGATTATCATTGACAGTAAACAAGCCGATCCACCTGGCGCTGCTAGCTTGAACAGCTCTCAGACCCGTGATTGGCTAAACCCCCGGCCTGAAACTTGCTGAAAAGTTCGGGCCACGATTGGGTGAAACTTAGCAAGACTGAGAATCAACACTCTGATTGGGTAAAGCGCCAAAGAGGAAGTTAAGAGAACATGTATTGTAGATAAATGATGGCTTTTCTTCTTGGTCCAAATACTCCAGCCCCGGTTAACCGTGTGTGCTGTATTAGCTCGCTGGATATACAGTAACACATCCATTGGTTTCCAATTACTGATCAATCTAAGAGAAGTCGCACTGAGCTCAAGACTGAATAGCACAGACAACGAATCTCATGGCATCCACAGCGTTCAAGACTCAAATAGCGTGTCTCGATAGGGGTGCGCACATCACAATCACATCGTGATACCAGCCGCGTTACTATCGCAGTTGGCGCGTCACTGTCATGGTGCTCTGGCGCCACTGACGCGACATGAAATCCATATATCGCGACACACCTGACAAAATACCCCCACCCCCGAGGAGCGACATGGAGTCAATACATCACGTACACGTCCTATCTGGGTATATCATGTCGTGATATGTCACCTTTGTCGCGACAGCAGCGCCAGTGTGCCAGAAAGCAAGGCACCAGTCGTGATAGTCACACGCCCATTGTCACGATATACACTACCGCGATATTCATGCGGTCTCTATCATAATATGCTGTGGAGGTCTTGTCGCGATAGTATCCCATAGTTACACGTTTAGCAACAACATGTCACAGTAGGGAAAGAAAGGAAAACGTGCTTTAGAAAATAAAACAATATATTTTACAACCACAGTGATTTTACATGCATTACAACCAGAGTTTTATGTCATAGATGGTTAACTTGTTGGCATGCAACATTTCTTAAGTATCATTCACATCTAAGGAGGCTCAAACTGTATGTTTATGGATATTGATCATCTTTAAAATTTTAAGGGTACGAGCTAAACTGTCCATCTGCTGCCTGTGTGTTGTAAAGTTCACCTGTGCGGATTGCTATAAAATCCAAAGCTAAAAGTTTTCTTACAATGCTTAAATTATACCATCACAAAACAGAGTATATTAAAGAAGTAAAGAGTTTAGTACAAAATTGCATTATCTGGTGTGTTACACTGTCCAAGACAACATACTGGATTAGAGCTCTGTATTGTTCCCCAACCATAAAGGTGTGAAATTGCAAAGGCTGCGGTCAACTGATTAAATTCACAATTAAAAGATCTGTTGGTCGTGACCTTGCTGTTTTTGTACGTCACAGAGTGACGTCACAGCCAGAAAGAAAGACAGACTCAGAAAACAAATTGCCCCTTTTGTTTTCAGCACATTCATGAGTTAAAGTACCGAGTATGTTGGTACCTGTAAATTAACTTGTAGATAGTCACGTGATTACCCGAAAAACCAAGGCGGTATATCTCGGAAACGAAAGCAGCACAAACGGTACAAACGCAGCACTGACGAATGCGGTGGGTTTCGTCGTTTGTGCTGTTTGTTGGGTGAAGGAGGGGACAACTTCATGGAGCTGGACAAGCAGACATGCCCTGGGTAATTACATTGCATACGCTGTATTCTACACCAACGATTGACCAGAAACGCAAGGATAAAAGAACTGTGAACTAATTGTTTCATGTTCGCTCATAAGAACCCTGTGAACTCAAACACGTGGATAATGACATTTTATTAGATAACTTAGATATATGTTCACTTCTGTTATGTGAAAATAAATATTTTTACAATATTGCCGCGTTCTGCACGTGTGAGATATTAAACTTTTTAATGTTGCTTCTCGGATGTGTTAAGACCTACACGTGTCAACTTTGTACAGTACGTAGTGCCCCTTAAAATAACATTTTGGTTCTTTTTAATGTTGACGAATGTGCTTTGCATACAAAGTGCAGCAGTGATCTTGTTCATAAAGTTGCAAATTCGGATTTTTACACACCCTTGGTGGGCATGTATATTTAAGAAGGAGACGACGAGAAACTGATTGTTCCTTCATATTTTTTTAAAAAGGACACCGCTACGACGTATTAAAACGTGAACGTTAAAGCCTCTTTGTAAGAACATGCAATTGTTTGCTAGTGTTTAAGACTACACCCGCAACTCTTCTGATAAGGGTATGATATTCGTGAGAAATTTAATTGTCTTGCTCACACAAAAGCACAGAAGATACTGATATTAAACGCAAAATCCACCGCCGCGCCCCAGCTGGTCAAGCAGAGAAACAAAATTGCAGAATTGTTATGCTCGCACCAGTAACAGAGCGCTTGAACTCGACAGACGAGATCACTGGAGGTCAAGGTCGCCGTGCATGGTGATCACCGGAAAAAGAAGGTGCTATATATCGGAAACGGAAGCAGTACAAACGCTACTTTCAACGGCACACACCGGCTCAAACGCAGCACTAACGAATGAGGGGGGTTTCATCGTTTGTGCTGTTTGTAGGGGGGGCAACTTCAATGATCTCTTCAAAGGACATCTAGACAGCAGGGTGTTCTTCTAGGACAGGGCAGGCTAGCACTCAGAAGAGGGAAGAAAAGAGGGCAAACGAAAGGTACAGAAAATAAGGACAAAGAAAAGCAAGGCTAAAAAAAACCCTACAACAAACAGGAGCAGGAATTAACTGGCCAACTGCTAGCATCTGGTTCCTGGAAGCTTTTTAAAATGTCCCTAGGCTGCTTTACTAAGCACTGCAGGAGCTGTGGGAGAGCCGAGGTGAGGGCCTATAATTTCACAGAGCACTGAATGCTGAAGTGGCTGAGTGCTGAATGCTGCCATCACAGTATCTCTCCATCTCTGCTCCCGCGGCTATCATGTGTGTGCGCACACCTTTCCATGGGTACGGCATACCAGCGTTATGATTTATTCTGTGCCTTAAAGCCATAGCTCTACTACTGAACCAACATTTACAGAACTGAAACACTCTGTAGATTTTTCTAGCTGGCTGCTAACTCTGAGGGACAGGACTTTACAGGCTGCGAACCTCCTGCCCAACTTCCTCGTTAGGGGAGTGTGTGGGGAAGACGGGGCTCATTCAATCAGCTAAAGATTTGCGTGTCCCTGATGGACACACATGCATCAGAGCAGCAATGCCCATGGTCAGGCGTGGACATTCAATGCACTTTTCTGCTCAAACAATTGTCTTCACGCACACCACTGATTCCATTTAGCCGTTGAGAATGCCCACAGACTCAACCCAGCAGCCTTGGGCAGCTGGACTTACAGTACAAACTTCTGCAGAGTAATTAAAGCCAGGCTGGATCCCACAGCTCTGTCACCAGGCTCACACTGCACAGCCCTGCCTTTCATCCTCCCCCGGCTTCGTCCTCTCTCTTTTTTCAAATTGCGGCATTAATCACAAAGCAATTTTTTTATAGTCATTTTTTTCCCTTGTATTTCTTTACTTTGATCCTGTTCAGGGGCTCTCTGACTGTGATCTTTTCATGTGGGAAAAAAAAATAATATCTGTTAAAAAAAGAGCAATCACAATGTTTGTGTTTCATTAACTCTGGCTTCTTTAATTAACGTTCTTTTCCCCGCTGGTAAGGAGCTCAGTGTTGCACTTTCACTGCGTTCTCACCGTAATTTGATTTCTCCAGATTTAAAAGAGTTCAAATGACTATCTATTCCGTTTGTCACTCATTAGGCTGAAACGGAAATCATCTCTCCAACATTTCTCAGCTCCAACCTCCAACAGGCTATCAATAATATTGTATTTAAGCATATGTCAAAGAGATCTGGTGAAGAAAAAACAAAGTGTGCTTTCACAACTCATTTGTTGCAAACTACTTCAAAGCTGTGCCAAGTCCTAAACAAATCATTGCATACATAGCACATGTGTACTCATAATAGCGGAAGTGGAACCTAGCATCTAAAATTAATTCAAAGAAAACGGCACCTCTCTAGCAATTAAGGTCTCAATCACAAAGTAGAGCTTATTGACTAGAAGGAGCTTAAGAAAAATATAAATCTGTAAATTCACACAATGAGTGGAACAGGCTGCAGGCTGTTCACTTGACCTGTGTCTGTTTACTGCTGCTGGAGGAGTTGTACAGTATACATCTTCTTGAACTTTTGTCTATCAGCTTTTAAAGCTTGGTTCTCTTTTACCTAACTTAAAAAAATAATTAAACAGGGATCTTTGAATCAACTGTTTATGGGGAAAATGAAAAGCAGAAGAAAAAAAGCACACAAAAAAAGGAAATCCATCAACCACTTCTGCATGGTCTGCACTACTATGCCAGTTTCAGAATCATGATTATGTGCAGCACAAATTAATTGCTTTTAATCTCTTTGTGTTTCAGGCGACAAGGACATAGAGAATTTACCTAGCTTCAGCCATACTGCTCAACCTGTAAGCTCCTCTACACACTGCTTGAACAAATGTATTACTGTGTGAGAGAACAGAAGAAACTGAAACTGGCTTTAAGACTTGATGATTGCCCATCAATCACAAAAAAACACGCCTCAAAACTTCAATTTAAATGCTCCTGGCCTTCCTTTCCCAAGCGGAAAAGGATGATTATTTTGGTTATAACTCATTTTCCATAAATACAAAATTGAATTGGCCATAACAATCCTACACTGGGAATTTACTCTGCATAAGTTCCAAAAGACTTCAAAATCTAATCTCGGAGACTGCTTCAGTCTGGTTGGAGAGCACCTTCTGGATGACCCAGCTTGCTGAGTGAGGCTCCCTGTGTCTGGCCGTGTACCAGCATGTCACCTTATTGCTCATCAGAGATTCGGCACCATATGTACATCTTGCAAAGCATCTTCATAATTGTCACAGATCCAGCGAGCAAGGTAATTAAATTTTTATATTATGCCATGGCGTATTGTCGGCCATAAAATGAGAGGAAATCGTTGCTTTAGTTTTATGTCAAGGAAATCAAAGCTACTTGTGTGCCACCTAGTGCCCCCTCCCCATTCCCCCAAGAGACACGGCAGAGACCGATGAATGACTAATGGATAGAAAGCATCCTGCGACTTCAGCCAGTAACATTGTCCCAAAAGGACACTCCCTGTGAAGTCTTGCCTTCAAAATCCCTTCTGTGGATTGTGAAACTCCTAACACACAATCACAAGAGACGCAAAAAAACTCACAGTGTTGCTGCAACACACTGCTTCACACTGGAGGAATTCCAGTTTTTGAGGCAATGTTTAAGAAGTTATGATCTGTAACATTCTCTTGTTTAAAATAAGAACTTGAAAGCTTGATGATTGTTTTCAACAAGGTTTTTAGATCCCTGATACATTCATCCCAATCAGAACTGAACGCTGATGCAACTAACAGAGCTGCTGTACTGGCTGAAGAGGATCAAGATATTTGCAGTTCAGTTGTACATGTGTATCTTATGTTTTTGCACCACAACAAAATGAAGGGTCAACATGCCTCCAATTAAGGTATTCAGATTATTTTGGTTTTAAAGTTTCCTTTGATTTTAATGATGATATAACTGTGTTTTTCTTTACAGGTTTTATACTGAAAGGTTGATCCCCTCACAAAGTAAGGTACAGCTACACAGTTAATTTCTCTTTAGTGTTCTGCAATGGTAATGGCCAGTATTGTAGCACTGACCAGAACACAGTTGGATCAAAGTCATTTGTGAACAGCTATAATCATTTAATGTGAGGATACATCTCCAACACAAATTATTCCATTGTCATTTTTATATCATATGGAGTTGAATGGTTCTTTGTGGTGTGGAGGTTCCACATTTATACAATCTCACAGAAAATACTTAATTTCTCAGAAGCAAAACCTCAATGCGTCACTTACAGGAGACTGTAGAGGACTGTGTGAGGTATTGAAAGACAGTGCTGTGCTCACTGCATGACGCTGACTGCCTTGTTCCTAGAATGCCAGCTGCCCAAAGATATAAGGAAAATTTTTGCAAAAAGGTTTAAAATTCCTGGGGGTGATTTCCAGCAGAAATGTGTGTAGAACACTCCATCTATGGTATTAAAGACAGATTGATTAATCCACCAAGGCAATATTCTTTAAGAATGCACTGCAACCTACTGGATATTTCAGTTGGTTGAACCCTAATGAAGGCAAAGAGGAGGTATGATTCAAATAGTGAGCTTTATTTAATAATAGCGAGGGTAACCTTTCTAGCTGAAGAGAAAATATACACATCTGTACAGGACTCCGCCACCTTTTAATGAAGAATGTGACTCTCTTATGTGACTCTCTTCCTTTGCAGGATCTTAGTCCATCAATGGCAAAACCACAGAAAGGCCAATATCCATTTATACAGTAGGGTAGAGAAATCAAAGTACATTGCTAAAGCAGCAGTGTCCATAGTGAGGATGTACGACCCTTGGGTTGATGTCTAACGCCCCTAACCAGTAGGTCACCCCCCATCAACAAAACTAAACATTTTGCATTCTCACATTTGCTGCATTCTCAGGGGTCAACAAGCACTCCCAATAATGTACTTAGAAAGAATTTGTGAAATTATAAGCCCCCAATTCACTTTGGGGCATCTTATAGTTGGACTCCTTTGAGAACTTTACTTTTGGCAGTCTCCATAGGATCGCATTTTGACAGTTTGTCAGTCAATAGTTTTAAAGTTTCACACAAAACCTGCCTGATGTGATTTATCTAAGAGCAGGGTTACAAAACCCCTTTATAGCACTTCAGCAAGAGCAGTTGGCTGCCCTTCATTCAGTCCATAAATTAGTTATCTTATTTATTCAGAACCTTGACAGTGTTATTTTATAACTTCTTCCCATCCCACAAACTGGCAGCACTTGTTATCTTAATAGAAACATATTTGGAAAAGCTCTGTTGGTGCATTAGTGCTTTCCGTGGAACTTTTCCTGGTTTCCTATGAATGGGGAAAAAGGCCACCCTGTCTCAATTGCCCCTTTCCTTTAAAAAGCAAATGTCAGTGAGCACTCAGTCCAGCTGCTATTGTACCTGAAATGAGCACCGTTCTTTGCATTTACATAGGGAAAGCTAGTACTTCTTCTCCATCTTTCAGAACTTTCTTTCCTTTGTTAACATTTTAAATATCCTCCTTTCGTCTAATAGTTTAATGAAAAAATGTCTAATAGTTTAATGAAGACAACCTGAAATGAAAAACAAAAGGCTGCTATTTGGGCAGAATGGTGGCTCTGTGGTGCATTTCTGCCTCACAGCACCGAGGCCCTGGGTTCAATTCCGGACCTGGTGTGCTATTTGTGTGGAGTTAGTATGTTTTCCCCATGTTCACGTAGGTTTCTTCCAGATGCTCTGGTTCCTCCCACAGCCCAAAGACATACCAGTACTGCAGGGTAATTTGGTTTCTGGGAAAACTGGCCCTGGTGTGTGTGTGTGTGTGTGTGTGTGTGTGTGTGTGTGTGTGTGTGTGTGTGTGTGTGTGTGTGTCCTGAGATGGATTGGTGTCGCATCCAAGAGGTATCCTGCCTTGAGCCCATTGCTTGCCAGGATGGGCTCTGACTCTTTGGTGACCCTGTACTGGATAGGTTTCTGACAGGTTAGGAAAGAGATGAATGGAAGGCAGCTACTTATGCTTAGTAGCAGTCTTCACACACACAGCTCTCTCCCGAGCTGCACAACCATGTTCAATTACCATTCTGATTAAAAACCTAACTTAATGTTAATTTTTTAAACTTCCAAACACAGTCTACAAAAGAGCTGCAAACATCTCTCATTATTTTTTAAGGACATCTAGGGTCATATTATTTATATTCTATCATACAAACATGACTTTAAATGAGCTATTTAAACTAGCCCCAGGCAACACAATAGTCGCTCTGAACTGTCTACTGTGTGAAGGTGAAAATCACAGTACTATCCAACAATAGCTGCCAGTCCTGTAAAAATGGCATGCAGGCATATCTAATACAGTCATAACCTGCACACATCATGCAAACATGCTTGCACTCACACATAATGTATACAGTACATACACATAACATCCATACTTCCATGTAAAGTGCTTGCACACATTTACACATAGTGTACACATATAGTATTTATTCAACATATCCATGCAAATAAACATGACAAACAACTGCTGTAAGACACAGTACAAACAGAAACTGTCGGAGCGTGATGCCAGGTTGTAGTGAAGGGGGGGGTGTAATTGTCACTGCTGGTGCACAGTGACTGCAGGGCTGTCAAGTCTCTTGAGGAGACTGTGGACTGACACACAGAGCCTCACCACTCCCCCCTGCTCCTCCTCCTTCACTTGCTACCCTGCTATCTCACCCCACTGAGATAAATACACACCACAAATAAAGGCTTTCAATTAGCTTCTACTTCAGCAGGAGCAGCACTCTAGGAGGAGAAGGTGCCTCTGTGCTGTTCCTGGATTCAAGGTGCTGTATTGCTGTAATGGGCAGGTTGCAGTATATGGGGAAAAGAATTGCACCTGATGCAGTGGTGATGTTTCTCCCTCTGCCTGTAAAACTGGAAAATCTCTTCATGGAAACTTGCTGCCCTGTCAGACCTAAGAGGTCTGCTAACATGTGGGTAACAGAGGCCCTTTATAACAAACATTTTCACACAGAAATTCAAATTCAAAGAGCTTTATTGGTATGAAGGCTGAATTATGGTGATGCCAAAGAACTAATAATTAGTGTGACATTTCCAGACATTTAGAAGAAAAACATGATAATCATTATTCGAATCAAGACTCTTTTCCTCTGGCTCTGACAGAAGGTCACATTGTGGGTTGACAGATCTATTGAGTTCCCTTCCTCTCTGCTCCTGCAGGACTGGAAGATATTCTGACTTTTGCAGGTGTGGAAACTCTGGGATTAGATTTGTTATTTTAGGGATGAATCGTTTGTCGAATCCCAAAGTGTTTCTTGCAGTGTTGCAGATAGCCTGAGGCTGTCTTGTAGCTTGATCTTGTTGGATCTCAGAAGATAAACAAGGCTGTGTTGGGAAGCAAGTTAATGGAAGACCTCCAGGAAAAACTAGGTTGTTGCAGTAGTAGTGATGGTGGACCAGTAGGTGGTGCTCTACCCTTTGACTAGAGTCAAGTCAAGTTCAAGTTTATTGTCATTATACAGGTACTCATATACAGGTATATGGTGTAATGAAATGCTATTAAGAGTTTCCAAACCAGTGTTTCAGTTTGATGACAAAGGACTCGTCCTGTGCTGTATGAGGTACCTCTCTTTGGATGTGATATCAATAAAATGTGCGTATTACTTCAGCATTCATGATCACATGAACTGCTTGGGCTTGGGAATCCAAGGGGATGAAAAGTTTTATATAAATGTAATTATGGTGGGTAGCTGCATCAGAAGAAGGCTCCACGGCCGAAACGTTGTGTTTTCTTTCTTCTTTTTTTCAGCATGGAATAAACCTATTACTTGTTCCTTAAATGTAATTATTGTGAGAATGGATTTTTTCAGCAGATGTCAATTGATTTTTTTTCGCAGAGATGTGAGATTTTATTGGTTCTAATGTCAAAGTTTTCTTTTTCTCCATACTATTAGTACATCAAAATGTAATTATATCCCCTGCTTATTTAATTTGGCATTGAGCTGATCACTTGTTCATTGCAGCACAAAAATGTTTTTGGAACATATGCAAACTCCTACCTCCGGTCAAAGCTGTGCAAGTATACTTGATGTCAGATAGGAAGGAGGAAGATGGAGAACGAAAGAAAAAGAGTAGGGGGATTGAAATTGCACTCTCTGTATTTGAAATCAGCTTAGCCTGGGGTAAAAAAAGTCCATCATGAATACTGTTTACTTATGGCATTAAACTGTTCTGCAGATTAAAGTTCTGTGCAGATTCAAATGAACTAAAACACTTGTAATTCCCCGCTGTGGGTTCCATTTGCCTGGCCTGTGAAAGCGCTGCTGTTACTTCAAACACTCTAGCATCAAGCCTATAAAAACAGATCTATTAGGGCAGAAAGTGGTAACAAACATTTTAACTTTTGACTCTTTGATTGGAGACTTGCATTGGGGAATTTTTCACAAAGGTGGAAGGAGGTGTCTGTTCTCCGATAGCCACCCTTAAAACAAAATGGAAGGGAAAGGTCTTAAGATTAGATTTCAACAAAACAGGGATCGATTTTGGTAGAAAAAAAAAAGATTGGCCATGGTTGCTATTCTTGCATCTCTGCATGTCGATAAGATTCTTTGCATTAAAATCCTTTAGAATCAGACTCAGATCATTTAGCACACACATATTGATATAAAGAGAAAACAGAAACACAGAAGATAATAGGAACAAAAAAATGCAGCAGACCCATAAACAATACTAATGAATTAAGCACAAGGAATTAGTGTTGAATGGCAATTCTCGTCCTGTAATTGCAGGAGTCTTATACTGCTTGAAAAACGTGCAGCAGGGAAATGCCTGAAGGAATAATATCTTGGGATCTAACACGTCTTGGATAATTTGAAATGGATTTTTGTCTCAGCAAGACAAAAGTCATGAGCAAGTGTCAGACTCACACCAGCCCTTCTTTTTCTGCTCACATTTCCCTGCACCGTTTTCCATTTCCCTTCTAATTTCAATGTCGGAGAGAAGC